TGAAAGATTATGCTTGGTATGAGGAAAACCTAAACATCAAATTGCTGTTTTTTTTTTTGGTTGTCACATGCTTTGCCAAGCTTCTATTTGCGTGAGTAGTTGTACTAAACTAATACATACTTGGCTGTGTATTTGTATTGCAAATACGCAATTTGAAATGACTTTCTGTTTAAAAAGCCCTGCCATTACCCGCCACTTTGTGAGAAACACCCGCAAAAAGCACACAGGTTGCGGGCTTGTGGGCTCAAAAGTAGGACATATATATATATATATATATATATATATATATATATATATATATATAAGGACCGTAAATGTCTATAATAAGGATCTTATTTTGATCCCACGAGAGTTCGTTTTTAACTTCTACGAGCCCCATGGGCGCCAAAAACTGCTAAAAAGTAATGGGGCACTCAGCCAGAGGGAGCCCAACACCATCACCACCTCTGTGGGGGGGGGGGGGACATTACCCCAGATGCTCTGGGTTACGTTACTGCTCACCTGTTTACTTTTTTAGATGATCTGGTTAAAAGTTAATGATAGCAGGGTAGCTTTCAGTCCAGACTTCCTATATTGCCAGCATTAGTACATTGGCAGCAAGTTGTGGAAATGTACTAAATCGGGGCACATTTGAGCCCTTTCAAAATTAAGTTTAAACGATCTTGTAATGGATTAATTTTTGGGCCCAGAAAGTGCGAAGCTGTGCTTCCAGCACATGCTCTTACCTCACCACTCGCACGTGGATTTCCGGGTCAACGGCATAATTTGTTATATAACCTGCCGTGCTGCAATAGTTAACATGGTTCGTCATGCCCTCTGACGTCACGTGACCTTTGACACAACCGCTGCCGCCATCTATGCACCGTACAGGTCAGGGGAAAAAAGTAACGTGTAAAGCGACTCGAGCTCATCCAGCCACGGGTGGGTGAATTCGAATCTAGGTGCCCCAACTTACCACCTGAGCCAGATAGAGGAACAGACTCTTTCTGATTTTTTTTTTTTTTGCTATACCGCCCGTACCACCAAAGGATTCATCCAGCCCAGCCGGCCTGGGTCTACCCGAAGCGTGAAGATCTGAATTTCTGTCCAGTTCCAGCAGTCAGCTAACGCGCTCGTTCTGTCCGTTTCGTTCGACCTTCAACACAAGCGCGCACCCAGGGTGTTCGGGAGGGGTCGGCCTCGAACCTTCGCAGCGGGGTCAAAGGTTTCTGTGGACACCATTCGAAGTCCCATCTAACTTGGTTGACCGCTTAGAGACGAAGCCCAGAGCACACTGGACTGCTGTGGGAAAAAAAGTTATTTGCATCTTGCTATTGGCGGTTGTGCATTCATACTCATCCGCAGCTTGTAGTGCGAGGGGGCTGTAGTGAAGGTAGTGTTGTAGTGCATTGAAAGCCCCTAGTGCCCCGATCGGGTGAGCCACTGGTTCGGCCCAATACTGGATTGCAACGATGGAGGATACCAGTGGCGTATGCTTGCAGAGGCTGCTGCAGTCGTTCACACCGGGGAAGAACTAGAGCCTGTCGTTCAAAGCGGTGAAGGAACTCCATGGCTTTGCTCGAAGCGCTCTGTTGTTCGAAAGGACCGAGAAGCAAGGAATGACGACGAAGGAACAGAACACATTCCGCTTTAACAAGCATTTATTTCACGCACTTATCTCCGGCGAAATGTGATATACGATTCGGAATCATCATTGGTCAAAAATAATATCAACACTAATGACAACAGCTGGCGAAATGCTCCTTTTACAAATGATAGCTCTGTAATCTTATCTGCGAATGGAACAGTCTGCACACAGATCACGCATCAGCCACTCGATCTGGGTGTTGGCAGCAAAACATGAAGATATCAACTGTGGCAAGCATATGAACGCGGTTGTACGTGTCAAAGCGATGGTTATGGTCCTGTACAGCTTGGGGTGCGTCCCCTCACACCTCTTACTACACCAACTTCCTGCGAAGTCTCCCCCCCCCCCTCACCTCGAACGACATTGAACTAATTTGTTTGGCGAAGCTATACCAGCTACATCTGTGCATGACAGTCATAATACAGAACTGTAAGAAGACAAATAGGGGCCATAAAGAAGCACATGCCATCTCAACACACATGCACTACTCTTGAAATCAAAACGAGTCAGTCTTGGTCATTTCAACGCGCCATCCGCGCAACCATGTCACCCGTGTTCCTTTCCGTGGTCCACATGATCAATATTGATCATTGATCATTGATCAATCATGATCATGATCATAATCCTTATTTCACTGATACGAAGTAAAGATATCGCGCTCAACATCCGTGGTGTATATCAGGCTTTACAATAGATGGCAACATATGAGACCCAACCTTGCGTCACTAAACACACGCTAGGACTATGGCAGACACCCCCGTTTGTTCTTGCGGATTTCATCCCACACGCTCTTCAGGGTCGAGTGACCTTGCCTACAATCATGCTGAATGTAACTGGAGCCCCAAACGCTGTGCTGGTGATTCGATGGTTCATTGTGCTTGATCCTGAAACGTGACAAGGCGAATCATAACGCTAATATTGATGCGAATGTTCGCCCAAAACACTTATCTTAATCTACTTATCACGCGCTTACCGTAATATACTCACCACAGCACCAATCTCTGTGCAAATTGTAATCACAATACTAGTCTTAATCTACGAATCACAACAATAGCCTTAGAAAATAACCAAGCTGTTTTTAATCACCTGAACACTGGCATGATACACACGTCAACCTATTATATACTATCTATATATTTCGGCGCCTGGAATGACCTTATTTTTGGTGGCAACTTCTACAGAACATCGCCAGCCGGAGACCAAGAGCTTGAATACAGAAACCATCACACGCATTTTAAAAAATCGGCATGTTGTGTCAACAGGTATGGCAGGCAGCACTCACTGCGTCTTGCAACGTCTCGACTGGTAAATAAGAAACACAAATGAAACCTTACTTTGCACACAGATTGCTTCCTTGAGTAGCGTTTGATCGGATACTCGCCAGCCATGGCTTGTTCCGAAGACTGCCCCCCCCCCCCCTCCCGACCACCCCTACCCCTTCTGGGGTCCTGCGTCGGCACGGCCACACAGAGTCTCTCACTGCCCACTACCGCAAACACACAATAAAGCGTCCACTACATCCAACGCAGACGCACGATGCAACGCCTGCCGTACCTACCGCAGGAACTCCATGTGTGCGCATGTGCACCCGCAGGTTGCCTCTGGTGCTGTAGACCCGGCCGCAAATCGTGCAGCGCGTGTCCCCGCGATGCATGGCCTTGTGGTGCGAGAGGCTTGAGCCGCGTCTGAACATCCCGCCGCACACAGGGCAAGGTCGCAAGTCACGGGTTCCAGGAGACCGCCGCGCGTCTGACGTCATCAGCCGCCGCGAGTCTGACGTCAGCAGCGGCACCGGCAGCGGAGGTCGCGGCTGCCAAATGCTGATGCCTGAAAACAGCGGAAGCGGGAGGTGTGAGCTTTGAGCTAGTCTAACCTTAATGCGCAATCTAATTTGTCAGGAAGAAGGAAAGCGCACGCTGCACGTGTGCGCGAACGGTACCAATAAAAGGGAATGTTCCACATGTGAAGATACTGCAGCAAGCATCAGATCCGACAAAATAAGTTCACTTATAACCAGTGGTATATTTTAAGTGAAAAATACTGCTCTACAAGACACAATTTCTCTGTTAAGTAAATACGCTCCTTAAAATGTCATTGCTTGATTACGTCATCGTACCTGGCACAACACGGATTAAGAGCCAATTGACGACTCTCGTATCTGGAAATCGTGTTCACAAACGCCAGATATGAACGCTTCGACAATTCTGTTTTGGCTTTGATCGCCGCAGGGCTAATGGATTGGTAGGATTTGAATGATGCTGTATGGCGTCGTGGATACCCCAGTGCCCTTGAAATAGTCTCCCCGACATAGCCTGCACGTCTTCGTGGGCACGCAGCTCAGAAACCAGCGGGGTTTAGGTCTTAAGAAGGGCACGGCTGTGGACAGCACAGAATGATCTTCAATACGGTTATTTCAATTCAAAATCCACATAAATGTGGAGCACTCTTTGAGGATGCACGCTAAACTCACGACCAAAACAGCTTCTGCTTCAAGGACTTGTATTTTTCATTTATATTTATTTGCATCTCATTTGGCGAGTTCTTAGTTCTGTCTCATGCCTTCGGAGTCCTCTTTATCTCTGGACATCGGGTACAGCCGTATCCGGCTGCCACCTAAAGGCCAGGAAGGGTATTCGTTGCTTCTCCCGCTACGTTTTTGGGGGTTCGCCGACCCGGCATTCTCACTGTTTTGGCGTCCCATGTGTGCACTAGCCAGATGTCGCCCAACTTAACGCAGTAATTCTCATCACATCATCTGTAAATGCCACGCCGTGCAGTTCAAATGCCAGCGCAGTGTCATCATACGCTCCAAACTTAACACCGGTGTCGTCACATACATTTATTAAGTTGAGATGTGCACCGGGAGCGACTACAATCCATCCTTCCTGAGCACAACTTGGTCACCCGTCACGGCGAAGGCTGTCGGCATTACCAGTGCGACCAAGTATTCTTCTCCCCTGCGACACCGTCCTACAGCACTGCGCGTGAGGCAGGGTCCAGACCAAAGATGCCGTCTTTCACTTCAGATCTCTCTCATGGCACAGGAGAGGGCCTCTGTCTCGTCTAACAACACAAGAGCGCCCATGGCCATCGCATCACCTTCCAGCCATCACACTGTCGTATCCGAGCAAACAGATGGTCACCAAAAGGCCTCATTGCCGGCGTGACAGCGCATGCAGTACGTCAGCTCGCGGATTCATCTACACTGAGTCAATGAGCTGAACAGGAAGCAAGACGACGACCATCGAGATGCCCACAAAGCTGATAGGCAAGAACAGGGGCGGAACATCCGTTGTCGGGATTCAGTTTTCTTTTCAGAAAAAGGCTGAAGTCACCCGCCCCCCCCCCCCCCCACACACTTAAGAAAGCTGGCTAAATCTAGGAAGAAACAATATTACTGGCATATTTTGGAGAAGTTCTGGTCATTTTTTTCACTGATCAGCCACTAACTTAGTTTGCAAAACAACGCCCCTGATCCGTTGCTTACACCATTTGCGAAAACTCACATCTCTAACAAACTAAACAGATGCTCATTTGACTCAGCTAAGCTGTTTGTCAGAAAGGGCCAAACGATTCGTACGCAGTGCGTTAGTCCCTTGACCAATGCCTAAACATTTACTCAGGCCTGCGCGGCCAGATGCTGAAGAGATATGTCTGTCTTCAAGACGCGCGCCAATGCATTCCGAATAAGCAATCAGCCAAAGTGGTGCGCGAGGGTCGTGCTCTGCCTTAGCAAGCTGCACTGAGAGGTCAGTGCCATGATAGCGCAAACATGCATAAACACGGCGGAGTTCCTACAGACATGACCCTCAAGACAATACATGGGGGCACCGATGGCATACGTCCAACAGTCGCCCACGTTCTACGCATGACTAGGTACGTAGTTTGACGGAAAGCAAAGCGAAGCTGATCTACAGTCTTTTCCGAAACACGTTAACGCGGGGTGCGATCACATAAGTCATTGCATCACCATAAAGCCTAACTTAGCGAGTGACTTAGATTCATAGTGGTGCCAGATGGTTCACATTCGAGAGTTCATTGGTCGTCAAACTGGATGACTTCTGACGAGTTGTCTGATGAATCCACTCCTCGCACGATGAGGAGTTCACTGACGTCCGACTGGCACGCCTCCGACTTGACAGATTCTACAGCTAGCTGAATGTTCGCGGCTTCAGTGCCCTCCAGCTGCTGAGTTGGCGTGGAGTTGCTAGATGGCGCGTGTCGCTGCAGTCCGAGGGCCCTCCACGACGAGTTGATCTTAAAACGCACGTTTTTGAACTTGCATCGGAGTTTTTGCGTCACGAACGTCTACGAAATATGATCCGGCGATTACACGCAGTTCCCAAACTAGTGAATAGCAATGGCAATATCCCAAAATCCTGTCTAGAACGGTAGTGAACGAACGCCCAAACACGGGCGCCCAGGATTAATTAATAGGAGTAATGAAGCTTATGTTCACCAGCACGATGTCCATCATAGCATTCAGCTCGCTCAGAAGACATAAGGATCAGTCATAAAACCTCAACACCGACGTCGTCCAGAGTTAACATGCTTCCTAAACTAAATGCTATAATCGGGTGCGGATGCCTACCAGGCCTTGGAACGTTGTCATGCCCTCAAACAGATGAGGATACTCATCCATCACTCGGGCACTCATCTCGTGATACCATCGCTTCGGGTTCGCGGGCCGCCTGGAAAGGGGGGTGAAAACTTGTTAGGATACCGGAAAAGCAGGCATGACCCATGCCAGTGATATTATAACGCTATGTGAGAACCACACCGCGTTTTTGATAAAATAGAATGTCATATATCCTTGCGTGGTAACGGTATCGGTCCATAAGCACTTTTCAGACACTGACTTTCGCGCTGTTCCGGGAAAACCGCAGGTGGTTAAATCCGGTGCCATGCTCAAACTCCTGGCTTAATGTCTGCTGCTGGAAACACCGTGCGACCGCGTTTCTAATCCGTGTAGCGAACCTTGTGACGTCAATGGGCACACGTGTCGAAGAGAAGACACCTCAAACCAGTGTTTTCCACAGACGTGTTGGGTGCTTTGTGGCCGGACCGTCATCGTGTCCTCGGTCCGACATAATCAGTACACAAGGCGAACAATCGCCCGAGACGCACTGGGAAGTGGCCGAGAAGTATTGGTTGAAGATGGCGGACACCAGGTTGTTCCAGTCGCGCTGCTGGAACGGCATCCGATGCCGCAGCTTGCGCTGTATGACGTCATTGAACCAGTTGATGTTGAGGTCGACGCGCCTGCGCAGAAGAGCCGGACGCGGGCTTGTCATAAAAAAGACGCATCACCACTATGGGCCATCACCAATCTATAAGCTATAGGAACTTCACAGAACAACATGGGCTCAAACCGATTGACGATCCTTGGACATACCCTGAGGATCTATTCGTCACAGCTGCTGCATGTGACGGACACGTTATGAGTGACACTGAGTAGCAAACGCAACAGGTAGTTATCTGTCCGTTATACCAAAGAAAAAGTATTCTGGATGAACCAAAAATATCTAAGGCCCCTAGCATCCGCGTTTGCTGACGTCCGCAGTGTAAAATTTCGCGATAAGTTGAGAGGTTTCTCAATCTGGAAATCGTAGGCATTGGTGGACAGGATTCGACACAAGGCTATTTCGCCAAATTTGCGACTCCTGCAACTCGCACTGAAACCCACCACCTGACTCACGCGTATGTGGGTCCGCCCTGCCGAAGTGGCGAAGAGGTCATGTACTGAGTACGCTTCCCCTACGTTCAAATTCTGCATCTCAACATTACAATTTTCCCCAACACCCACTCCGATTTGTCGTAAGTACATCTTGCACAGGGAGTCAACCAAATAGCGAGTCAAACAAATAAATGGAGCATGGTGATGTTGACGGAACATACCAGTAAGCGCTCTTTTCTTCTTCCTCTTGGTACCTTGATAGTGCGGTTAATCTGTGGGTGCAGACAGGATGCCACACGAAAGCATGGCATTATTGATGACCTCATTTATCGCATTGGATATAATTACACAAACACCGCAAATAAAAAATATACCCTTACTACGTCGTAACGGTGATCAAGTTGACCCAAGCAATAGTCTGCAATCATTGTAGAAAGAGACGACTAAGCGACGCGGTACAACTTAAGCAACTGCATCTACCAATCCACAAAGGTGAAGCGAAAACAAATCCTTTACGCAAGTCGGTACTACACACACTTTTGTAAGTCGGCTCCGTTGAAATCCCGTCAAATTCCATATTCAATCCCGTCACATTCCATTCATATTCCCAACCCCGATACCTATCCTGGAGTATGGACGTCTGCGGAAACCGCGTCGCAGGACCCGGTCCGGGGGCCGCTGGGAGCCCGTCCACACCGGCAGGCACCGCCAGTGGGGGCGCCCAGGACGGAGAGGGCGGCCGGGGGCGTGGCTGCAAACGATCGATGATCAGGAAAAGTGATGGAAGGGGACTGACGACGACGGAAACGCGTGTATCGGCCGATGGTGAGCTCACATGGTTGTTATCTCCTGGGCGAATCGCCTGGCAGACACGTGTGTGTGTGTGTGTGTGTGTGTGTGTGTGTGTGTGTGTGTGTGTGTGTGTGTGTGTGTGTGTGTGTGTGTGTGTGTGTGTGTGTGTGTGTGTGTGTGTGTGTGTGTGTGTGTGTGCGTGTGCGTGTGCGTGTGCGTGTGCGTGTGCGTGTGCGTGTGCGTGTGCGTGTGCGTGTGCGTGTGCGTGTGCGTGTGCGTGTGCGTGTGCGTGTGCGTGTGTGTGTATGGAGCCACCGTTAACACCTTCACACCAGTCTCACCAAGAAGTCCAAAAAGTTAGCGTTATCAGCTTATGCATAGGGCCCCACACTGGGCGCCACTATACTTACAACTAATCGCCCGAGTGCTCCGGAAGTCGCTGGAGCTGCCAGGAGTATTGCGTTATCCGGAGAACTTTCCACGCTAGTTCCGCCAACTGACCATTTCCTTGACCCTGACGGCAAGGTATCTGATTAGTAGGAGTACAGGAGCCATCCTCAATACAACATGGGAGTCGTATCGGCTGGGCGAAGATGATCACTGATTATCCCAAATCCCATCGCTCGTTTATTGTCACGCTTTGTGAGAGGCGTCCGAGACTGGCGTAACTTTGCCAAATCAACCACGGTCCGAAACGAGTCGTTACGAGGCCAAACTTAGCCTCCCGGCTGGATTTATCCCGCGCGTCTGCCCTAGGTCATATTCTTTTTTGAGGTAGGTCGAGCCGCAAAGCTGGAAAAGCAATAGAGGACGGCAGACCCACAAACAGCATAAGGAGCTATTGATCTCAAGACACATCAGCTGTTGTCTCGCTTTCATCCCGCGCGGAGGTCACACATTCATTCTCATTGCGTTCTCATCTCATTCTCATTCCCGACTCACGGCGACGTAGCCCGCTGGCGGACCAGCGTGAACTATGCACTGCGATCGAAGTGTGTGCATTGACCTAATGTTACTTGATCACTTTCCTGAAACGGGAAAACATTCACAGGCCTCATCTTGCTTCGGGCATTAAGAATACGAAATTACCAAAAGTCATGGTGAAACCAAACAGTGTAATTGTGTTACGCTATAAGGGCTAGGTGAGATTGCGCGAGCAGGTAATACTGCCGTCCATAGCCAAGAAGGCCTGAGCACTCTTTTACCTATGGCCGCATAGGCCCCTTTGCCATTGGATGGCAGAATACGCCCCTCCAACCATTCTCAAACTTTATGAATGTTTTGCTGGTGGCATAGCAAGCAAATGACAAGGCCAAAACGTCATTTGGTAGCTCCGTTTCAGAGTCAATGATGCGCATAGCAAGATGGAAGTTTCCGATGAGGTGTTCACCCTCATACTCCCTTGAGCTTCCATTTTGTTTACTAGTGTATCAGAAGCAATTTTTCCCGCGAGGAACTTCACAGCTAACCGACTATATACCAGACACAAAACGGAAGTGCAGTTGGATCCCTTACGTGGATTGGGAGCTGAGCCCTACGGATAGCTACGCTACTCTCTACGGAGACTATGGGCGTATGTTGGAAGCATCATAAGCAGTTATATTTTATTCGCGCATCAATCAATGATTCGCGACCCGACTTATTCAGTTTTTGTGCACTGAATAGAAGTGTGGCTATGGGTGCAGATCTCACGCATGAGACGATTCCTATACATTACATTGTCTAAAAAGTTTCCTGGCAGTCGATGGCAACTTCTCAGGCGTCACTGGAAATTGCCAGTCGCCGCTGGCACGTGACAGTTCAGGTTCTCTTCGTGGCTGGTAAGTATTCATGCAGCGAAACTTTCCTGACAACGCACTTTGTATTCGACGCACAATTTGGCGGTGAGCTCCAACCTATTCTGTGGATAAACCGACCAGACTAAACAAGTGCATCACGTAATTTATAAATATGCATGGGAAAGGGCACCGAGGACACCCATACGTCAGTTTCACATGACACTTGACATCCATCTCCGGCAGGCTCTGACGACGAAGAGCCTGTGACGTGTTAGCTAACTGTTGCTCTTGATAACCGCACTCATGCGCACGTCAAGGACGCAATGACAAAGAATCCGCAAAGACGCAACGAGAAACGGCCAAAATGAACGAAAACCACGTGACAGACGGCTCCTTCGTGGCCACGGCGCGTTAACGTAACACGACAAGCGCAAAGAGCGTCATTCAAATCAGCACCACGTATGTGGCGACTTTCGTAGCCCTCGGCGTACCATGCAGTGTGGTTCATCTACCAATCGACGTTTGTAGAGCAAACATCGCGAGCATTTTCGGTCCGCAATCGTCCTTGAGCTGTCGTTCAGCTGCGGTGTGACCATGACGAGACAGCACCACAAACAGCCCATGGTTATCACTCTCGAGACACACTGCACCACGGTCGTGAGCTTCGATCAGGCCGTTTAAAAAAACAGTCACCACGTTGGATAACATCACCAAGAATTCCAGAGATCGATGGTGTAAATCCCCGCTCAAGAACCCGGCTGGCCCGTCACCAAGCCAACTAACACTGTTCAGTTTGTTCTTGGCCACCGACCGTCGTCTCCTTACGCGGCTTCATTCCTGCTGAGCAGGATCGAGACCAGCACCGAACCTCACAGGTCATTCTGGGGTCACCAGCCACAGTCTGGCTTCGGACCGTTCCCGTTCCCCGGAAAACGAACGGAAGCGGATGTTCTTGAACTTGTGGCGAAGCTTGGCCTTCATGAATCCCTGTGAAATCGGGCGCACGTCAACGATAAACGCAGGGATTGCATGGTAGGTAGACCTGGAAATCCAGTGAAATGCCTACATAGGGTGAAAGTTATAAATATGATATACGGTGAAGCACATTCTAGAAAAAAAGTCTATCCAGCATAGCTACCCAAAAATGTCCAACACCCTTAAGAACACCAGAGGTTAAACGGAAGTGGTCCAGAAACAGCTTACCACCGCAGAGGACGCCGACATCCCAGCGAAGATGTGCGGGTACTGATCTATGATGAGATCACTCATCTTAGTGTACCACGTCCTTGGTTGTGGTGATCTGGAAAGACAGACCATAATTTCGTAGTCGAACGATTGTAGTGTTGGACAAAAAAAGACACGAGCAGCTCGTGCATCGAAGAATTGCTAGGGATATATGATTTTGTTGCATCTGTTTGACAGGTAGGCACATTATCGCCCATTTTTCTCTCCCTGAACCATAGTTGTATGGCACAAGAGACAGCATGGCTGGCATGTATGACATGATATACATGTGTACATATCAGATCGATAAAGTAAATCTTGAACGGCTGAAAATACTACATGAAAAAATATTGAGCGGTCTTCAATCTTTAAATGAGAGGTCATGAGCTTGAGTTTGAAAACGAGAACTTTAAAACAATATGTTTGGATTTATCAGGCGGTTATTTTAGCACTTTTTCGTTCACGCAGGTCATGCAGAAGAAAAGGAAGCAATAAACAAATTTCACATTTTTTCTTCAGAAACAAGATTGTTATCGATATCACACTTAGAGAAAAAAGTACTAGCTATGTTTTCGCTCGGGAAATGTGTATCTAACCAACTCCATTTATTGCGTCCCAAAGCCAACCACGAAAATCAAATACATAGATCGTTAGATAGGTCAAGAGATAGATACGTTGCGCAACAAACTGATTTAACAACGGGGCGCCTATCCACGGGTTGCGTTAGCCTTACGGGCATGCTACCAGGTCTCTTGTCTTCAAGTTGCATACTACTGAAGGCTAACTAAAAGACGAACCCCACTGAAACGCAGAGAACGAACACCAATACACTGTGAAGTTTTTATCAATGGCATTAATCGCTGCCGAGAACGTGACGCACCCAGAGTAGCGGGAAATGTAGTAGTCGGTAATGTTGGACACCAAGCAGTGCCAGTCGTGCTGTTGCAATGGCTCATGTGCCGCGAGCTTGCGGCGCAAAAGGACGCTGAACCAGTCCATATCAAGGCGCACCTCCCTGTGCAGAGTCAAAAGCCGTTAGCGGAGATGGATCCGATACCCAATGACACAAATCCTCACGGGAATAATCCTACCATTTCGAACGAATAGAGCAGGACTCGGCCACATATTACACTGCGTGCGCATGGAACTGCCATGCGGGAGCTATCATCACAACCATACCACAAATTGTTAGAGAATGCAGAATTCCCCTCATCCTAGCAGTCGTTATAGGCCCCGCTATGTCTACACCACCAGCAAACTCGACATATATATCTAGCACCGGCCCGGTGAAACCCCGCATACACATTCGCCATCACTAGAGCTGTTAAGGCGGATATCCAATATTGATCTGTAACGCACAAACCATATTTTCCAGAGAGAAAGTGAACCAGCTGCAGTCATGACTGTACTGTGAGTTCACTGTTTTTCTCTAGGACAACGGAATTTTAGGAGCTTGACTATGAAGAACCACTCACCAATCCTCGCCTCCTCTATGAGCTGCCACGTTGCTCCGTGAAGCTACTAGTCTGCGAAGGTCAGCATAAGAGATCTCAATTTGTTGCGAAAATTGCATCATGAACATTTGCGTGGGCAGACGGTAATACCAACGCAGCAGAGTCCCATGACAACATAGTATAACACAATAGTGTAAGCTACAACATAGTATAACCTCGGTATAACATCTGCGGCAGTTGTAGCATCTTTGCATTGGAAAATAACACAGAGGAAGGGTTAACCGAAATCATGGACCACAATCGTCTTGCTTGGCAACTTGAGCAACACACGTCGCTTACTTCTATAGGCGAATGTTCGCTAACATGCCGCTCATTATTACTACCAGCACGGTGCTGCAATCGGTCATCACCCGTCTGAGCGGAAATCTCTTGGTGCGTTTTGCGGCTGTCCAGGACGCTGAGTGCCGTACGAGGATATCAACAGTCGGGGAGGTCCGCTGGGTCCTTCCAGCTGGAAGACACATGCGTGGAAGTAAGGTTAGCGGCGGTCACCGCAGACATCCATCGCAGAAGTCAACATCAACTCCGCTGAAGCCACACACTACAAACCACTGAAACCGCCAGGGACGTATTACGGTTATCAAAACAACCATCAGATATGCTGGACAGCTGCTGAACCCCAAATAGATTGCAAGAGGGTAGTATCTTCATGCTCTTCGGCAACACGTGGACACCTTACTACACTCGCTTGCAAAACAATGCGTACCAGCCTGTTGTGCAGGGTACCCTACATTGGACACATTACTTACTGTGCCGTCAACGGGGGGCTCGTCTGCTGATCTCAGAACCCGAGCATCTCTGGCTGAAGTTGCGTTGATCACGACCCCTGTAAAATGAGTACGTGGATTGAAAAAGACCGCCAGACTGTCCGAAATGCTGTGTCGGGTTTCATCCTGGTTTGATTACTCCTGCGTCATCTCGTAGAAAATAAAGTCCACTAACGTTTGAAATATTGCTTTTTACCGTGCATGTCTCCCCTGGGCAGTGAAAAGAAAGGACCAAAGCATGACAAAACAGGGTAATCTGACCGTAGTTTAGGTTTGGGCCAAATCATGCATGGTCAGGCTGGAAACAAGATAATTTACATAAAGCAATACTCAACTTTTAGGGCATGCCATCTGCTAATTTCCATGCAGCTGATAAAAGCGTCCCTGAGCATCAACTGGAAACACCCGTTCGCCAACCAAACGTAGCCTAGTCACGCATTACCATGCTTGCTACCTCGGTATGATTTGTCTGATCACTCCTATCGCATAAGCGAGAGGCAAATAACCATAAATATCGCCTGCTTTTTGGAAATGGCGAGGACTAGCAAGGTGCCTTAATATATACATGCTATAGGCCACCGTCATGTTTGTCTCGCTCCTGCCATCTTCGGGGCGTGTTACTGTTGACGAGTAAGACACATGGCATTGATTACGCGTAATGTTCTGCACTCCTAAATAATGCTGCTCTCTGTCATAAGCGCGTGAGTTTCGTTAGCAGGCACAGTGTTTTCGACAACACCTTTGAACACCACCGAAGCCTTGATGGTAAACCAGCTGTTGTGTTTTTCGACTGTTGCAAGCTTATGCGCTCACTTTGACTGGATTTCCCTCATATCTCATCACACCAGTCGTAATCTATCAACACGTTGCAAACTATTATCATGGCGTACTTTCAGAAGAGAGAAGCACGGAATTACGACCTTTTGATCGCCGTAGTACATTCAATATGCACAAATCAACTTAGTTCGACCGTCCAATCTTACTTTTCAATTATTAAGAATCAGACATCACATAAAAACGACGTGGCTGATGGTAAAAGCATGCCTCCTGACCCTCGTGCTTACACTACGCGATTAAAGAATGCGTAAACTCACAGTTTCCTCTATAAAACTGGGTCCATCTCGCAGCGCTAATCATACATGCACCGCCGTTTTGCCTCCCAGCATTTGTATTTCTATTTGTATGCGCTTGAAGTCCGTCCACGCTTTAATTTTTAGGGTCTTCGGTTCGTTACGACGTTCGGAAGGTTTGGGTCGTCGACACAATGAGGTCGAATACTAGAATGCGTACGAAATCGAAATGTGAATCTATAAATGTGTTAATATTAAGCAAACTAATGTACCAAACGCAAAGTACGCATTCAAAAGATGAATTAAAACAACTTGCAAGCACATCGGGCTCGCATTGACATGCAAGGACCATACACACATGGACGAGAACTAACACAGGTCATCAGAAAGGGTCAAAAATCCAGATGGACGACCTAACAGTTGCTTTTGAAATGCTGGTTTATAATCCCATTACAGATGAAGACATAGTAATGGTCAGAGGTAGGCGGTCCTAAGTCGCCGCGACATGGCAAAAGAGAACACGTTTGGTGGCGTCCAGTCGGCACCTGGGCGGGCGGAGACACACTGACATAGGACAGCGCCTCTCTTTTCGTGCAAGAGGAAGGTGGCCAAAAAAGAGGCCCGACAGTGGGAATCGATTCCTAGCATCTCAGTGCATATATTCTGTTAGCACATCCCACTTCTTCGCCAAGGTATCAATGCGGGACAATCCCAAAGATTTAAGCCGTTGTTGAAACTAAGTGACAGTGGGGTGATGTATCACTCACACGGCTGGAAAGTAAACATTTCGGCGTAAAATTACGTTTGCGTATCAAACGCAACACAACCAACAGCGCACAATACATCAGCAAACATCCTGCTTGGAACGAAGCCTTACGGTGCAAGCATATTCTGGATTTTGTTTGCGATGTTTGTTGTTGTCATTGCTGATGCAAGTGAACGTCAAATTCCTTAGAAATGAGGCAGCGGCCTGAAGAACGAGATGGAGCTGCACAAGGTGTGATAACCGCGAGGTACCACCCATCTCAAGGGTGCGCACCGCGGAGAAGTTAAAGTGAGATCGAACGACTCGTCCATATATTTCATTCGCCTCCCATCACGCGTCTTCTGCGTGTTTGTAAACATGTCATGTCCACGGAGCTTTTACATCCGCGACTTTTCAAGCTGTCTTCCCTAGACGAGACGAGGCATAAATCGCTCATCTCGCTATCGTAGGGTGTAGTCTGATACGTTTGCCATTAAAAGGCTCTGGTTACTTAACCTCATTTTTCAGGCAAAACCATTTAGGAAAGGCGTTGTTACACCTATACTGAGCCCTTTCGTTCGTTTAAGCCAATCACTGCGTCGGAATAGCAGCCGAAAGCAAGACAAAGGACATGCAGTCGTAACTTTGGATAGGGTCAATAATGTCATGTCAGGCGGGTAGAGGATGAGTCTTGCTTTCAAAACACCCATTCGAACCCACTTGACACTGCATTATATTTTTCTATATTTTATATTTCGCTTCGCTTTATATTTCGCTTCCCCTAGACCAACCAGAAGGAGATTGGCAAACGAATGCGACAAAAAGCAAACCGCGAAACAATGCCAGCGACAGAATCGATTGCTACCCAAAACTAGTATGCCTACCACGTTGAGGCGCTAACACGGTCTAGCGTCTTGCCACCGACAAACGTCACAAACCCAACGATATGTCACGCCGCAGTCCACATGAGCTGATTCAGGACACCGCGGATCTCGAAAAAAATTGGTCAGATCCATTCGAGACCTGATCACTCAAGACACGCGCACCTTTTTGCTGAGCGCTTTCGCGTATCGAAGCAAAATGAGGACGCACTATGAGCGCATCACCACTCACGACGCACCAGGCCAACTGGCGCCGTGCAAAATAAAGCGCAAAACACGAGGTATCACTGGTCACTCACTGCAAATGCTGTAAATCTTCCACCCATCCGCCACGAATATGTTCACCACGTCTCGCAGCCCCCATAAGCACGTCACGCACTTCACGCTCCTGCCCAGCGTACTTTATTTCGTAACGCGTTCAGTGCAATGCGTTCTCGAAAGACAGTTATGTGAGACAGCCCAAAAACAACGCCCGCTCACAGCTGCTGCACAACGTGCGCAGCTTCGACGTCAGGCTCTGGAGCGGGTGGCGCGACATCCACCCGCGACCGGCCGCCAGTGGCCTGCACCCTCTGCCGGACCAGTAGCGCCGCCTCCGCCTCCTCCACCTGATGGCAGTTGACCATGTGGCGCTTCAGGTTGCCCATCTTGCTGTAGAGCATGCCACAGACGGGGCAGTGCGTGCTGCCGAAGTGGACGCGCTCGTGGGCGCTCCGGCTGCTCGACGTGCGGTACTGGCGGCCGCAGAAGCGGCACGGGTGCGTCATGCCTGCTGGACAGGGCGCACGTGAACCTCGGGCTGCGGTGGCTCGGTCCCTACACCAGGGGTGCAGCCGGCTTGTGGGAGCAGTCAGACAGTGATAACACGCATTCTCCCGAGACATGTCACGGTGCCCCCTTACTTCGAAAGAAACACAGGTGTGAGAAATGCGGACACCCAAGTAGCCAGCCATTACCACGTCGAACTTATGACTTCAGACACCTTGGGCACCGTTATGATGTATTGCCGATACAAATGATGACAGGAAACAGCTATCACGAAGTCTGGTTGGCGTACACGATAACTTTCCGAAAAAGTTTTGACGTTCTCAATGAATGAGGCATAACATGTCATGTCCTTATAGCAGGAACTGCACTACAGAAAGAAAAACATCCGTTTTGTGCATGGTAAAATCTGACTCGGGTCTGAGAAACAATATCACGGAGCCATGAATGAAAAAAGCATGCAGCAATCGACGAGTGCCATGCTCAGGACTCGCCACTCACACCTCAGGTAAACGTCATCAGTCTGCGTAAAATGGTACACTCGTAGACACCATCAAGTCCCCAAGCGCATAATAAAAAACAGAACATCTAGAAGACCACTGCGCAAAAAAATCGCCAAGTACACATTACATCGGCACCAGCTTGATCGGCCACAGCACTGCGCCAGCAGAATCACGGAACTATGCCAGATTCGCATCTCTTCACTCAAATGCTACATACGCCCCTGTTGCGACGGAAGGGAAGGCACAGAGCCACAGCCAGCCCATTATCGGCCAGGCCTGGTAAGCGGCACGACAGCTCCCTCCACCATCACTTGGGCAGACCGGGCGGCACTAACACCTCCCGCACGCTCTCCTCGGGCTGCCGGTGCACCAGCATGTGTCTGTTCTTGCTGCTGACCGTGCTGAACACCTTGCCACAAACGTTGCAACCTGTTTTGCCGCCATGGCAGGCCAGGTGATTAACGAGCGACTTGCGGTTTGAGTAGGTCGCCGGGCAGTGAGAGCAAGCGAAGGAGGCGGTGGCGGGACCGTCGGGAGAGCGCCAGTGACCGGAAATCGCCGGATCGGTGAAGACGACCTCCATGCCCGAGTCGGACCCGAGCCGACCGCCGGGACTGTCCGGGCCGCCGAGCGTTCCTCGCGGCGCTGTGGAGGGAGCAGATCCATCAGTGGCGGACATGGACAATGTGGTTTTCGCTGGTGGGCGTTTGGGTTCGGGAAAGCTCCCGCCGATTTTCGTCGCCCCATTTCCCGTTGAAGGTCACGCCCCAAAGGATGTGAAGGAATGCACCAATTTGAAGTTAACACTGACGCTGACACTGCTAGCTGACATTTCATTCACGAGGAGTCTGGCAATACGTCTGGTGATACGTCTGGCAACACGCATATAGGTCTGGCCGACGCACCCAACATTGATTGTGAAAGTACGACCTCATGAATTGAAGGTGGCCTTGCACTTACCGACGTGAATTCTCCCGTATGTACTAGACGGAGGCTTGCCAAATGCGATTACAGACCTCAATTGACGTTCAAGCTCGTCAAACGCTGTCATTGTTCAAATGACGCAGGCAGCACAGTTCAGTAGTAACACGTAGTGCCCGTAAGCGCACAAGAACCTTAATTTGAAAAAAACATTACTTCCAGTTAAATGTGAGACGACAAAACAAACCATACGGACGGACCGGAGGGCGTTCCGCGGCAAACGCAATGCAGTGCGTTATCGCATCAAGCACGATACGGATCATTGTCTAGAGAAACGGGCCTAAGTTTCCCGGTTCGTTCATGGACAGGTTTGGTGGTCTGCATGAAGAGGGGCAAGGTTTGGCACTAACTTCACCAAGTCAGAACAAATTTGGCTGGGCCAAGTCTCAGTCTTACATTTTGAGTCCGCACAACCCCAAGTTTCTATAGGCCGTTCTGCTTTCTGAAAGAAATTCATTTCTCGTATCCGTCTCGCCCCCCCCCCCCCCCCCCATCATTCCTCTGAACAAAAATCACCACCAAATGAGCTAGTAGGACTCGATGCAGCTGATTGCCTAACTGTGAGCTGACTGGGCTTCAGAGGACACCGTTTTGCATCGAAGTTAAAAGTGATTGGCACTGAATTGGGCGGCGCCAATGGTGATTATTTACCGTTGTCTGGTGCTTGGTAGCACCTATCAACCCGCCTCACTTCTCAAGATGTCAGCAGAGGCGAAGCTGTTTTAATGGCTGCTGCACATCATGGTGTGAAGGGTTCACCCGCTGCGGCTGAACCATCACCTAAACTACCACCAACATATGACACAGCGGTGTGTTTCACCCGTGCCCTGCTTATCGGCGGGCCTCAGCACCAAGAATCGGTCGCACGACGCCTATAATGACATGAACCGTTCAGCTTATAGCACACGCGAAAGGTAGTGCTTGTTCAGACCGGTTCCCACCTGACACAAGAAGCTGTCTGCTACAGATTCCGCCTCCCCCCCCCCCCCCCCCCCCCCCTATATTCGCACGCCACAATATTCGAGCATGACTTTCGCGAGGAATTATTCCACAGGCTAAAAGCTGATCATCACCCACCACGTCACGCCGTGATCACTGCAAACAACCAAGCACTGACTTCGCGAGGGTCGACCTCCATTAGAGCTGTTCTAGTTTGTTTATCGGTGAAGCACCAACTCCATGATCCAGGCCCAACGCGGACAAATCTGACGTTGGGCATTTGGGGCCGGGGCAGCCCGCGCTGAGTATGTCGTAGGGCTCCTATCCGTGACTACTGACACCGTGGCGCAGATGGGTCACATGGACTTGTCACTGGTGGCTCGTTTTGGGCCACTACAACGACGCCGGTGCATCGCCGATTTACTCAGTGTCGGAGCCCCATTACGGGTGGTCCCAGAGCCAAAAGCCCGGTTCGTAATGCGCCCGTCCTGGCCCAAATGCGTGCTGCTTGGCGGCTGGGTTGGTGCTGTTTTTTACCAAGGAAAAGCAGCCCACTGAAGAAGTTGAGCCATGATGTAATGCTAATAGCATAGCAGCAGAACTGCGGTGAAATGCCCCGTCACCGCCTTGTGTTATCAGTGACTAATTTTGTTTCGTTATCATGTTAACTCTGTTTGGTGGCTAAACATAACTTATTCAACTAATTTTGTCTTGTTACCAATGACTAATCGTTCAGTCTTAGCGGTTAAAGCGATCCTGGACCAGAGAAGTGAGAGAGAACTGAGTGAAGCCAAGTGAAAAAGAAGGAAGTGTCATGTTCACTGGTGTCGCCACACTGGAGAAGTTGCCTATTCGCCGCAGACTCACGGGTATTTCTCTTCGGTATCGTGACCAAAACGGAGCGATTGACAGTTCTTCTACAGCATCGCACTTCATCTCGCACGATCAGGAAGAGCACACCGCGTGAAAGAGCTCACAGCCCAGCGTTACATGAAATCTCGACACCGTAGGTTGTCCTATATTCGCTTAAAATCACCTTTCAAAAAGGACACAGAAAGTCGCTATTAAGTCGAATCACTGATGGCAGGACCACGCCGCACTGAAGGTCAGCCACCAAAGTTGAGCACAACAGGAGAAAGCTTCAGCCAGACTGGTCCGTCTAAGCTTTTATTATGATGTATAAGCCAAAGCATAACGAAAGAAGTGAGCACGTTTGAGAGACTTTAACGCTCTATGGTGACTTACTTTGACGCTAGGCGCTATCAATACCGAATTTTAGAAGCTAGATAAAAGAAATTCCTAGCCACTAGTCGCATACTTCGTTCCTATACTGGCATCACGACAAATCACAATATGACTCCAATAGGAAAAAATTAGATATTGTCAGCCCGTCTTAGCGTGCAAGGTATATGGTATAACTAAGTATGCAATGAAACGGAATGCATATAAAAACCGCCCCACGTGAAACAGCGCAGAAAAGTCAGGAAACACCATTGCGAGACAATCGGTCAAAAAGTGTATCACAAGTTCGTCTTCGACCGCGTTTGTCACAAACAGGCAAGCGTTCGCCCGCGCGATTATAAACGTACTGAGCACGCCTCCACCAGCGAGATCTCAACCGTGGACAAAGACCTTCATCGCCAGGCCACAGCTGGCACCACTCCGTTTCACCGGTCTCACGCAGTACCAAGCCACACTGGAACTGGCGCTTCTCTGTCCCATGCTCTGAGACAATAAGGTCCAAGAACGTCACTCGGCACTGCCAACATCAGAGCCGACCGGAAATGAGACTTGACTTTCCACTGCGGAACCTCACCATCCACCACAGAACCCCACTGTTTCCGGCGCCGTCTACTTCCCACAGCAGAACCTCACTTTCCGCTAAGGAAGCTCACTGCCCCCGGAAAACCACATCCACCGCTGCGGCGCCTCGCTGTCCGCCCGACGTCGCCTCGCCGTGCACGCTGCGCAGGTGGTAGTTCCTGCTGCTGATGGTGGCGAAGCGCTTGCCGCAGTGGGCGCAGAGCGTGCGGCCCTCGTGCGTCTCCAGGTGGTGGCGCAGCGAGTCGCGGCTGGCGTAGGAGCGACCGCAGCGCGGGCACACGAGCGGCCGGTCCTGGCGGCCGAACGCCGGCGACGGCTGCAGCGGCGGCGGCCACTGCACCGCTGCCGGCCAGCGAGACAGCGCTTTAGTGAGGGGAGGTGCAGGACATCGAAACAGCACTTCGGTGCGGGGAGGTGTCCGGCGACGACAAAGCACTTAAGAGAGGGAAATGCGCCGATAGCGGCGCTTTGATGTGGGGAGGTGCGGGGCAGCGAGACGACGCGCTGGAGCTGGTGAACACAGTTGCTGGTGGGTGGTGGCAAGGATGGGGAGGAAAGTGGACTGCGGCTCGAGAGTCGGGTCGGGGAAAAGTTGGGAGATGCGCCCCACGTGAATGTTTCATCGGCGGAGTCGCGGCAAACTGTGTCAAATGCACGTATATGCCTCCGACATCGAACGGGATCAGAGGCACAGCCGAGCACAATCCGCAAAAGGTCACACTGTCTGCATCCTTGAAACAATGCTGGACTTCGCAATGTTCCCGTGTTCTCCCAACCAGCTATGATTCATGTATCGCAAGGCGCCTGTTCTGAACACTCGTCATTTAAGTGAATGCTCCACATTTGAAGATATTGAGGTAAGCATCAGATAACATGAGATGGGCTCACTTATAACTGCTGCTATACCATCAAATGGAAAAGACTGCCATAGACCTTACAATTTCTCTGTTGAGGAAGACTGCGGAAATCTCGATCCCATGAGCTGTGGAAAGCAGCGTATCTGTGCGCTTAGCGACTGCCTGATCTTTACGAACAATGAGTCCTGCCACTGAAAATGGGCCCTTAGTATTTCACATTTCCCAACTCGGTATACCATTTATCTAGCATTCCAAGTTCGTTGCACCACTGTATCATGCATCCATGTATGCATCCTGCACCATTGAGTTGTGGAATCCGAGTCCAGTGCACCATTCAACGCTCTTTCAGTTCAGTGATGCGGGGTGGCCCAGCAGCAGGCCGCTGTGCAGATAGAGCGGTGTAGAGGAGACAGAATGTCGGAAAACCAAAACGACGCCGAGAGATGTTGCGGACAGCGTTTTAAAAGCGTTGGTTCTGCAGCTCGAAGACGCAGAGGTTAGACACGTTATGATAATAAAGGGTGTTCTCATTTCAAAAACGGATTTCTTTTCTGTCAACGCCGCATTGAAGGACTCGCAGAGACCATGCAAATCAACATTCTTTCAGTCTGCGTGTCAGGTTTGGGGCATTTAAACCTCATCGTGTTTCAACGAAGCGGGCACGCTGTCTGTTTTCCGAACCATTTTGCAAACCCGGCCATCTGCCCATCACTCCAGTGTAATACACCAGACGTTGCTACATCGCACCAGCTTCGCTAGAAAGTTATGATAGGCAACAGAAATTATTCTGCAATGCTCAGAATTCTACCCTGACAGCCCGCAATGGTTTATTTTGAGAATATATGAACAATACGCTACAATTCAAAGCTTGTCATCTGCGGTGCATGGCTGACATTTGATGCGCAATCCACAAGCTATCGCAAACACAATGAAAGCACGAGCAGTCGCACCCCGCAATCAACAAGACTGAGAAGAAACTGTGAGCTTACAGTCATTTCACTTATAGACACATGCCAAGGAAAGCATGCGCCTGCCAGATTCCGAATGAAAAATCCCACACACACCCTAAGCACAGCTAGACACTCAATGTACAGCACGGGATGAAAACTGTTCACAGCGTATGTATGTCATGGCACGCCATTGGGGGTTTACGACGCACTCAGATGCTGCGGCTATATGGCGTCGCCTGCCGCTCACTCTGGCAGAGAGCGGGCACCGCGAGGAATCGAAACCCACGCCTCTGGTTTACCAGACGCGCAGTGTTCAACACATACGCGTTAACCACCGCACCATCGGCCCTCCCTTACAGCGGATGTAAAAATCGAGATCTTATATGGACGTTTCTCACTAAAACCGGACGATTCGATGTAGAAGCCATAGACCGGGTATGAATAGATGCTTAGAATATGCCAAAGTAAAGCCTTTATCATCCGACTCGAGGGCAGACTGACACAACAAACCCCTTGGAAACACAGATGTATATGTATAACACACTGAAAATCCACAGACCACGCCATCCTTCGACCACACCTCAAATCCGCCCCAAACCTCACGCACACTGTTTGGGGACGGTGCACGCGCGCGCCGCTTCCTCGCGACGGGCCCCGAACCGCCCAAGGTTCTCCCACTTCCTCGCGACCGGCCCCTAGCCGACCCCAGGTTCTCTCACTCCTTGCCGTTGCAGCACATGCATGCGGGCGGATGTCGGTTGGCGCGCTGAGGACGGACGATCTGCTGTTCCCACATGGGATCCGCGCTCTCCGGCGAAGGACTGGCCTTCGGCCGCCGGCGGGGCGCCCGCGGATCGACGCGTTGTTGGAGGCAGCTGGCCGCGTGACGGTTGCGGCTGCTGCGCGTGGCGAACGTCTGGCCGCAGTGCGGGCAGTTCGTCTTGCCGGCGTGCGTCTCGACGTGGTGGCGGAACGAGTCGCGCGTGAGGTAGGAGCGGCCGCAGATCGTGCAGATGAGACGGCCGACCCGGTCCAGGACCGACAGCTGCAGCGGAGTGGCTGCCAAGCGGGCGCACAGCGGACGTCAGTTACGGCGGTCGCAGCATCGGGGACCGCATCCTGGTGAGCCACACGTATCGGTCTCGACAGAAGTCCGCGGCGCGCTGCCAAACTCGTTCAAAGGCCGCCAGTGACCGTGGTCACTGCATGACCATGATCACGCCAGAGGCGATACCATCATCGGCGCTTCGTGCCGATAACCGTACATTTTATTTTCTTCTCTACTTTTCGGAACTAGTGAAGCGTGTCGTCGCGACGCATTTTACGCAGCGCCAGCGCCTACGTTGGTCATATTAGCCCGCAGGGGTCATGGCGAAACGTGAGATTGTAGGATGCAGTCGTACTTCGTGCTGATTCAAAAACTTGCTTTCATGACAAATCTTTCGAAACGGAAGGCCATGAGCCATTTAGTTATCTTGACGCACAACAGGCTAGAAATATCCGTATCAGTCTTGTGACATCAAAACAAACAAGCCTACATCAAATGGTACCACTTGTTCATATGCATCCTAGCATAAAGGTGTTGGATATATTTGATATTGAAAGGCGGTTCCACCAACAGGTGAAATACCAATCATCGACTGGGTCGTGTGAGCGCCACGTGATGGCTGGGAGGGCATAACAGCACACATTCAGGGAGCACAGTGGCGCGTTGTCGCGAGTGTAAGGACAGAGGGTCATACTTAAACGTCAAAATCAACAAGACGGTAAAAATGCTGAAATAACACATGCAGCGACAGGAATTGCTGTCAGGCTCGGATCAAAGTGTACCTTGAATAGTTCCCCACTTTTCACAGCTCAGTTTTCCTTCTCATTTTTTATCCATGAAAGACATATCTACAAACATTCCGAACAGCTTCGAAAAAGCCATGACTTGTAGGTGTTTTTCTTTCCGAGAAGTTTCGATCGAGCGGCTTCTTTCAAGCTTTCCTACGTGAAACTTCCATGTTGTCCGAATTTTCCATAGCCGGAATGAACTCACACTTGGATTTATCGTAGACAAGACATCAGAGGGATCTTAATGACACGAGATCCGGCACAGATCAAAAGCTGGCGGACAGATGGGATCGTGATTTTCAGAACCATCATCTTCGGTACACCAATATGCATGATCAAATTCCGCAAAAGTTGAACGACATGCGCCCCCTGCCCCCCCCCCCCCCCCCGTCCTCAAGAAGCGGAGGGCATGCCCAAAGCCACACTACAACAGCAATAGCATGACCAAGTGCACTCAGAATGCTCTCACCGCTACCTGCTTACAACAGATTGAGATTCAGAGAGATTGATCATGAGATCATGAGATTCAATACCCACTCCTGGTCCCCGGCGATGTATTTATGCTGAGGACACTGGGCGCTGCCAGAGCTGGTATTCCTGGCGATTTACCAGTGGCATGACATAAAGGCAGACAGCGCATCTTAGCGAGCCGTTACCACTGCAGCCCTTAGTCCTGTCGTGTCGAGTCCACGCCTGCAAGCATGCTTGAAGATGCCAATCCATACTGGCGAAGAAGTAGTCCCTTGATCGCTGCTTCTGGTACTTTCTCAGCTTTCAGCAATGTTTTAACCAATTCGAAACGAACTAGATTGCAAACTGACCTCACCAAGAGGATGCGCTGTATTTCGGTGCATAATCACGATAGGGGTCCGAACAATGTGCTGCTCCAGCATCGCCTCAAACCTTTGAAACGACGCCATGATCACCATTTCGCTAGCTTCAGCGGCAAAACGCGACTTGCCTGGGCTGCCACCATCCGTACCAGCCCGTAAACTTTAGTTCGCGGACCAAAATTAGCCTTCCAGTGACAGGTTGGTAGAACGGTATCCCCTACCATCCCTTGACTTCCCCAGCAGTCCTGCAAGTTTGCACTGACTGTGTAAAGAAATGCTCACTACCTTTCTCACATGTTTCCGGCCGAAGGTTTCCACAACTGAAGAGTTGTCATCCCCACTGTCCGACATTTCATGAAACAACGCGATCCCAATTCGAATCGAAGCCGTAATCCCGATTGGTGACCAATGACTGGTCCCGGCACAGCATTGTCTACAACGGGACCCAGGACATAAATCTAGCAGACTGTGTCATCTCCAAACGAGTGCCACGAAAAATACGCCAGATCCGAATAGCATTCACCACGAGGCCAATCCTCGCACCGACAGAATTATCATGAAAAGGAATACCCAGCTCACCTCAATAGTTCCCTACATTTCTTTATATAATGCGCAATAGCTTCCCCGGCACCAGCCAATCCTGTCATTGAAACAATCAAATCATTTGGTTTCTTTGCATACCGGTAGTGCTTTATTCATCGCAATGGCAATAACGATCAGCATTAATCATGTCGCATGCAACATATTTAATGATGGTTAAAGATTAACCCACAGTAACTACGGAATGCCCATTCCTCCGAAAACGTCAGAGGTAAATGACAAAGGAGCAGCAATGTAAAAGTTTGCAGATGCCTTCATGCTTCCTGCTTTTTGTACAAGACAGGAGTAAGTCTCGGGAACGCCACGGCCCATTCTCCTGACACGGTCTACACCGCCGCTCAGTTCACACGGCAGGTGATGATAGCGAAACAGGCATACGATATTGTGAAATGAACTCACTTGTCACTATTGGTATGCTTCTAGTGGACAAGACTGCTGCATACAACACAATGTCTCTATTTAGTACACGCATTCCCCAATACGGCATTCTTTGACTGGGTTGTCGTGCCTTGCACAATATCGCGAGCCAATTGACGGCCGTTTTATTTGGATATCGTGCTCACAAACGCCAGGTGTGAACACGACAATTATGTCTTTCTTGGCCTTGATCGCCGCACGGCCAACAGAATGGCAGGACTTAAACGCCGTTATTACGCCCTTATGGATGCCTGGCTGACCTTGAAATAGTATGCACGGCATAGTGCACATCTTCGCAGGCGTGTAGCTCAGAAACCACAGGGGTCTAGGTCTTATGGCCTGACCTGTGAATCGCACTGAATGATCCCCAAGATCATGCGGTTATTTCATTTCAAAACCCCACACAAATGCAGAACACTCCCTTTAACGTAACCATATTATAATGCACAGCAATAACGAATGGTCTTAAGTAGGTTACAAAAAATATTAGCGACACTTTCTGTGTTGTGAGATCTAAATACAACAATGGTCAAGCTGGGACATGGCACATTCCGAGAACAACACTGCTCTGAACCCATGGCCGTTCATTTTCATCGCTCATACATAGCGAGTTAAGTAAACCAGAATACCTTGACGAACACATGGCCTCAATCAACGCAATGACGAGCATATGGTCTCAATCAACACAATGACGAACATATGGTCCCTACACACCAAAACCCAGCACACCCCTTCCACATGAATCACAGACTTATCAGGCAATGACGCCTACCCACTGGCCGATTCCATCCACCGTCCGCACAAACGCACTTCTGCCGCGATCACACCGTCGCTGACTTCGCCGCCTTCCCGCTAGAACATGAACATGCTGCCAGACTGCAGCGGCAGCGGGGGGCCGCCGGGACGCAGCGGTCGGCTGGCGCAGCTGGCCGCGTGGCGGTTGCGGTTGCTGGCCGTGGCGAACGTCTGGCCGCAGTGCGGGCAGTCCGTCTTGCCAGCGTGCGTCTCGACGTGGTGGCGGAACGAGTCGCGCGTGCGGTAGGAGCGCCCGCAGAGCGTGCAGCATAGCCGGCCGTCCGAGTCCAGGGCCGAGAGCGGCGGCCGGTCAGCTGCCGGTGGGGTCACAGCCGGGTCATTCGGGCTAACGGACGGGTCGGTCGGGTTAACGGACGAGTCAGTCGGGTCAATGGCCGGACCAGTCGGGTCAACGGACGGGTCAGTCGGGTCAACGGACGGCCGGTGGGATGGTCGCGCGTCGGTCGTAGACCATCGAACCTAGGCCGCGCGTCTCGCAGCTGTCGGGACATTAATTATGGCGGGCAGGCATTCGTTATAGGTTGTCGTAGGAGCGGGATCGACGTCCGTCGTGGCTGCTGCAGACCGAACATCCGCTGTTGCTGCACCGTGACAGAGACAGACAGAAACCATGTGAGTGAGTAGGGACCGCAATTATCCGCAGATCGATCTCCGATGATGGTTTCAAAAAATGTTTAAATTTAACTTACCAGAGTGCTTTATACGAGTTCTGCCCTAGACCAAGCTATTCAACGATCACATACGCCATGGATCGTCCTAGACGACCAGTTTAACAGCTCCTATATGGTGCGTCGCAGGCGTTGTGACGTGGTGACCCTGGTGCAAACGGTATGTCGATGCAGAACTTGAGCAGGATCCAAGGACAGCAAGAACACTTAAGACAAAGCGGGACACACACGGCACACAATGAGTCCTGATAAAACGAGATATAACACGAAGCTAACCACCAGCCTCGCTTACGGGTATATCGCAAGCGCCTATACAACAGAAATATACCGTCTCACCACACTTCTTTGGACAACGGGGCAGGCGTGTTTACCAGACGTGTCGAATCAAACTCATTCGTCATGTTGAGACTGAAGATAGAACTGTCGCATGTCGTGTGCCCAACCGACCAGAAAACAAATGCCGGATTTTGTTCCAAAACAGCCCACAGATACCGACGAACCGAGATTTCATATTTTCCAATGACAGTGCGGCGCCCATCACAAAACTCCATTACCATTGTACGTTAAGGCAACATCATATGCGAGTACTGCACGGCTTAAGCATGTCTGACAATCAACGTCGAATTTCCTAACGTGATCCGAACCAAGGGTACCTTAAATCGATTAGCTGGGATCTGCACCAATTAGCCATATTGTGAAAATGAGGGCAATTAGATTGGGAGATCGGTTGGCACCGCTACACCTGAGAGCATATCCAAAAAGGCCTCATAACCCAACACATTAGGATCCATTTATACGTTTACGCCTCGCCATACACACATAGCTTTAGTTCCAAGAATTACTGTCACTGCAGCACGGTGTCTTGTCCAAAGGTGTGAGTATCGCTGACCGACAATGGTGTTCTTACGAAGCACAGCATCGTACAACATGTTTGCCAGTGTCAGCCCGACGCCTGTTTATACGCGTGCATGAGCCACGAATTATGCCCAACGCCCAGAATCTATTTGTCAACGAACAATGGCTTTCGTTTTTTGTCGACGATGAACCCCGTATCCGGTCTGCGCAAAAACTTCTAGAACAGATGTCTTGCCACGATACTTTCGCTAATAAAAGCCTTCGAGGCGGATCTGTCGCGTAACTACCAGGCCCCATGCGATCCAGCCAACAAGCCTGTGTATTCGATCCTGGCGCCGATGACCCGCGGCCCTCGATTCGCTACACTTGGCTACTATTTCAACCATGCGGCCTCCATATCCACGAATATGTATTGTTCCTGATGGTTGCTGCGTCCGTCGTTCAGTCACACAATGTCCCAAGCTACCAACAAGATCCATACCACAAGGTGAGCGTCGAGGACAGAGCCGAATGGGTGCACATGTCCAACGTGGCGCATCATGTCTGCACACCCCATACAACATGGTCATTCGTTATAACGTACAGTGACGGGTAGCATACATAACAACACGATTATTCACAAATTTCGTTTCCACACAGCTGCACGGCTACGATGGGCTAAGTCAAGACCTCTTTTCAAGACGCAATAGCTGTCAACGATAGCTGAATCAAAAATATAGTTCAAGCAGCATTGAACATGAAACCCACAAGGTCAGAATATCCCGTGCTGAAACGGGATCAAAGTAATACTTGCGGGAGGTGATACAAACTGCATCAACCGCCTATCACTCGGAATGCCGGTGCATGTTCAAGGCAGAAGCCTATGCACAGAGATTGACAACTGGGACATTCCACCACCGCCAAACAATTGCAGCGCACCAAGAGCCACCATAAAACCGGCGCGTTGCACCGCCATGACACTACGTCACCGGTTACGTCACCGGTTACGTCACCGGGCAGCTCACGTTATCCCTCCCCCCCTCCCCCCTCCCCCAGGCACCATCACCACCGGAATAGGTTCAGATCTGCAGCCCCTCGAGTATAGACTGCACCCCGAATGCCCGCCTTACGACCTGCGCCACCCACGGCCCACCTCTCCACTCGTGTTCACGTCTGTTAGCACCCTTCCGACCCGCTCGGCGCCGCCCCCGCTCCCGCCCCCGCCGCCGCCTCCGCCGCGGCCGGCGGCGGCCGTCCGTGGTGCTGGCGCATATGCCGGTTGCGGCTGCTGGTGGTGCCGAACACGCGCTGGCAGAACGGGCAGCGCGTGTTGCCGCGGTGGATCTGCAAGTGGTGGAGCAGCGAGTCGCGGCGCGGGTAGCCCTGGCCGCACACCGGGCAGTACCAGACGGCCGCCGCCGCCGGCGCTGTCGGCAGGCGCAGTGTCAGCACGGCGGCGGACGCGTGCGGCGCGCGCCGCGCAGTCACGGTGGGCACTGTGGGAGGGTCTGGTGGGCGGGGAGGCGGTACGCCGTGGTATTGACCGGCTGCTTCAGTTTCCGGACAGCGGATCTGTATGATGACCATATGGCGTCCACTGACACTGGCTGGCATCAAAGCCAAGTACGGGAGATGCGGCACTGACGTGTGACCAATAAGGATTCACAATATATTGGCCCCTCATGGACACCAAGGTTTGACCGAGCAGGAACTGCTCCTTTGTCTGCATACAGAAATACGCAGTGTTTCCTCACCGTCGCAAAAACAACGTAGATCAGGTCAACAACTTTTCTCAGTTTCTGCCGTACCCAAGAAGGACAGAGAGTGGTGTGAGCCCATCATAAGAGGGACAAGTATTGGGTAAAGATAATGTATTTTTAACACGAAGCGGAACCGAAGTGGATATAGGCGGTGTGTGTTAATGCTGTGAATGATATTCAATGATGCACATATAAAGCTATCCTCATTTGTGACCCTTTCATACGATATCTACAGAAGCGTTGCTGCACGAGAGTATAATACAAATTTATGAGACATCGAGGACACTGAGACGGTCAATGACAACCGCTGTCGGGAGCTGAAAAAGCTGCCAGGTGTAAACTCACGATGAGTCCAAATTACAACAACATAAAAATCCGCACCACGAACCTCGCAACTGCGCACCAAACGCGAGCTCGTCCAAGGACAAGAGGTAACCTGCCACACCAAAAGGCACGCGCACAAACTCACACCGGTCAAGAATTTCGTAGCGCCCGCCCACGGTGGACGCCGACGTCACAGAGGGGCGCCATCATCCAAGGACATGCGGCGCCAGGTCTCAGGGCAGCAGCCCCTCAGCCGGCGCCACGTATACGTCCCCCATCGGATGGTGCTGCCGCGCGTGTCGGTTGCGGCTGCTGGTGGTGGCGAAGTGGCGTCCGCACACGCCGCAGGCCGTGTTGCCCCGGTGGCTGTGCAGGTGGTGACTGAGCGTGTCGCGGCGCGAGTACGTCTGGCCGCATACCCCGCAGACGAACGGCCGCGGTGCTGCCGGCACGGGCAGACGTCAGTCGCTGGTCGGGCGACGCAGCGCGGCGCCGGCGCGCTCCACGCGCGGCCACCACAGCGCCGGCATGACTTAGCACCCAGCAGCTAAGTTTCGCTTTCCCAGTATGCACTCGACGAGACGGAGAGATTAGGCCGTTCGCTCCCAGACCCACGCAAGAGTGGAGCTGGTCGTTCCGGACGTCTTCCTGAAAAGCGCGTCTGTCCAGCGGATCTCGGGCAGCGGACTCCGTAACACTACCCGGGAACTGCCTGCCTGCCAAACAGTCTGTCTACCCCTGCAGGAACAAAACGCTCAAGGATTATGATGATGGTGATGATCTTTGGGTTTATTGGGGGCTTCATCTGTCCTGGTCATTTTGTGCCCATCACTGCGTTAATTGATCACATCACAGATCTGAGATAAGACGTCGTTGATAACAATCTATCTACAGATTCTTCAGAGTGCGTTATTCCAAGCCCCTTTTCGGGACCATTAAACTGGCAAGAGTGTGATCCTAAAATTAATTTCCTTCATGAACATTACAAACTTTGCGTAAACGATCAGGTCCTCAAACAAGGAAAGAGTGGAGAGATAGTCCGCGCCGGGTGCCGAAGTAACGTTGGCGCTCAGTCGCGACCTGACGACACTGAACAAGTGTGTGGGCAACCGATAGCCGGGGATCGCAAGCAGGGAACGATGGCGATTAGCCTCCAAACAGGAGACAACCACGCGCTACGAAGGTATGACCGATACGGAGGCGGCAAAGGCTGACTTCCTCCCTTCCGCTCCCCCGGTGAGAGGAACTGCCTAGTCGCCAGCCGTATCTTTCATTGCGAAGACTTGATTTCTGTCGTGCCAGTTCTCCATTCGAGGAAACAGCAACGGCTTGAGGTCCGAAAACGGCGTTCGGGCGAAACGACGTCGAGGGACGGCTGCATCCTCCTTGGCAGCAGCATTCGCCTCGCTTCCAGCCAGCCCGATGTGCCCCGGCACCTCGGCACGGACCACGCGCTTGCCTTCACTCTCGGTCCGGAATTCGGTCCACTATGGCACGTCCTGTTTTCAGATGTTGGATGGCTTCTGGGAGTTAGACTGTTTTAGACTGACTGTTCAGGGAGTTAGACGGTATAAGAATCGCTCCTCTTGTCGTCCCTCTGCATAAGCAAGCGCCTTACAAATTGCACATATTCCGGCTGTAAAAAACCGAACAGTGATGGGACAACGCAAAACGCTCCGACGAGCTGTCACATTCGACACCGCATCCTGTACCTCTTTCGGACTTTGACCCATTGCGTATGTGTACGGACGACAGGTAATCGGCACGCACTCGAAAAGGAGCTTCAAAACGAAGCTCCTGGACAAATTTGCGTCTTTTCGTCAATGTGTAGGTGGGCAGATCACAGACAGGTGTCGGCAGTTCCCATGGTGGGCATGGAGTGCCCTTCACTGGAATGACGTCCCTTATACTAATGTATATATATATATATATATATATATATATATATATATATATATATATATACATCCTGCGGGCTTCCACTCACTTGTACACAGATGGGCTTAATGGTAGTTGTTCTGCCTGTTGGGATTAACTCAATCAGGTGTCCTGAACAGATGCTTTGAAAGGCTGGATGTGCCTCATACTGTGCAACCTTCAGCGTAAAGCGCGAGCTGAGCATCTCACGAGGGAGACCTCATGACAGCTCGCTCGCCTAGATGAGAAGGCTCGCGGCAGAGCTGGAGCGAAATGTCCCATAACAATGCGTACGCTGTCATGGCGCGCTGTGTCTAGAGTGCGCTTTTCAGAGTCACTCGCCTACACAACGCCTGACAGTCATTCTGTAGCTTGGGGCGAGTCAGGATTGTATGTACGTGGTTTTCTTTGTTGAAGAGGTATACCCGTTCATAAAACGCCAGTGCGTCAGCTTGTCCAGGCAGATTTGAATCTATCGCGAAACCGAGGTCGATGACGATGTACAGATCCAAATGGCGAAGTCATCAACAATCGGCGAGCCACCCACGTTGGCAGGCAACTCATCGCTGGTGATGTCCACCGCAATAGAGAGAAGCTGGACACTTGGGACGTTCGCTGATTATTTGGGCGAGGTGGCTGCATCTTACACCTGCGGACACCGCTTGCTGCTGCTGCTGCGCACGGACAGCGCTTGCTGCTGCGTGCGACCGTGGTCGCACACAGATGTGGTGCTATAGCACCACATCGATCCACCACATCTGTGTGGTCGCACACAGATGTGGTGGATCGATGTGGTGCTGTTGAACCACATCGATGACAGATAGGTCTGTCGGCTCCATCCAACATATAGCCGTGGGTTGCGTATGTGTGCCCAATACGCAATCTGCAGAGGATCACCTCCTCTCGCCCCATTTTCCGGAAACAAGAGAACCACTGACCCAGCTTAGGTTTTATCTCTCTGAGCTTATTACTATCCATCCGATCCCAACAACGCTGCCACTTGTTGTGCAGGAAGGTTTTTATTGCAGGGTAAAAGTCTCTGGCAGGAAAAGAAAGAGAGTGAACACATGGAGCCAGCGCTGCTCGCCTGGCAGCCGCGTCAGCCCACTCGTTGCCCGCGATGCCGACATGACTAGGAACCCAACATAGCATGATTTTCTTTCCGGCAGCATCGGGGATGAATCGGGGTCCAGCGGCACCGGCATTCCGCCCCCTATTCGTAACACGGGGGTCACCGGTCATGCCCAGTCAGGTAGACCACACCATGAGGACAAAACCACATCAAAGCTCGGCAGACACCCTCCGTTAATTTCCTCGACAGGAAAAGAACATCGGGATTCGCTGTTAAGGATTTAGCGGCAAATAGGCCAGTTATGTCCGGCATATTCGCCGTGGGAGGCCGTGACGCGTCCCTTGTGCTGGAACCGTGGCCATGGTGTGTCACTGGGCTAGGTGGTCGTCCCATCACAGAGACCGCACGTCTTTCCCAATTAACTATTTACCCGGCACGCGTTCGCATCGTTCACAACAGCTTTGACAACTATGTCGCATCTTCAGCACAACCTTAACATCACCAACAAGAGAATATTAGTGCGATGATCCAGGATGATCCAGGTAAAACGTGGTGAACAACTCATCCCATTTAATCCTTCTTGATGCCGGCTATGTATCATAACGCCAGGGGAAAACTATGCGACATGAAAATCTCGTGTAGCCGTTAACACTATACCAACCTGGTGATATTGCTGGCGTCTACAAAAGCTTGACAATCGGCTATCAACGAATAAATGCTTGATCGCATTGGCTAACATCCAAAAGATCCAGATAGCAGCACTGACTGCTGCTAAAACGCACCTGTTCAACTCGAACAGATTACAAACGCTGTAAATATCACCACATCTGGTATGCATCAATGACAGACGCCAGACGCCATCCTCCACCCTCTCATGGTTGCACTGTTTCTCCATCCACGGTAACGGGTCCAACTTCAGCAGTTACTCGACTGATCCGGTGCTTGCCCACACAGCGATGAAGAAACAACACTGTGAATGCGGTTTACCATTCGTTAAAATTCAGCTCCGACGAAATTCACCAGACTTCGCTGTGTGCAAGAGAAGGAAATTCGTAACACACAACAATATTAAAATGCACCGAGTCCATGGCCATTCCTGCCCGTTCTTATCCCGGCAGCATGACACTGAGATGGATCTACTCACCTCTGACAGGCCAGAGAACAAAACTGCATTTTTTATTTTATTTTTGGAAGTGGCTGAACCACTTCAAGTCTGTTTAGCAGTCGCCATCCTGCCCAGTTTTAGTACGTAGCATTCTTCAATCCAGTTGTATTGAGTATCATCGGCCTCTGTGCGTCGTATCATACGGGTTCTGAGGATAAAGTCGAAATGAGGAAGACATTCAGGTCATTTGAATTGCTTCACAACGCACACAAAACATACCGAAATCGACTTTTAAAAGAGCGCAAGGTTTCTTCGAGTTAGCACCAGATTACGGGTCATTCTAAACTAGGTTCGTTCGACACAATAGTTTACATAAGGTACAAGTGACTTGCTTGATTTCGCGGGCAAATATTTTAAAAGAGCAGAACCGTCTTCTGACAGCAAAGGCTGGACCAAAGACTGAACCTGTGTATAAACTAAACGCGTGCAACACTTGTACATGTCAAAGGAAGTGCTCCACATTAGTATGGGGTTTTGAACTGAAATAACCACGTTAAACACCAACCCGCGCACGTCACAGCCCCGCCCTTCTTATGACCTACGCCCCTCTAGTTTCCGAGCTGAACGCCTGCAAGATGTGCAGACTATTTTGTACAACTATTTCCAGGTCACCCAGGCATCCGCGACGCCTGAAAACTTCATTTAAATGATGATATTTCATTGGCCAGGTAGTGATCAAGGCCAAGAAAAAATATAATTGACGAGCCGTTCATATCTGGCGTTCATATGCAAGATACAACGACGCAGTCAAGCAATAACGTATTTAGGACACATTTACCAAACAGAGAAATCGTCTTGAGCAGCCTTTTCCATTACAAGGTCCACCAATAGTTGTAAGCGAGCTAATTTCATTTCTGAAGCTTGATTGAACATCCTCAAATGTGGAACATTCCCTTTAAGCATTTTGTGGTTTAGGTCAGGTGCATGCAGCACAGAAGACACCCAAACCTGTTTCACTTCACGGCTGATGAGAAAACATCAGAAAGAACCCGTTGTTGCTAAAGGGAGGAGCATGCCTCCATAAGCTACAAAGTGGCGTGCATTCTTCGACTGACACCAGCACGATGCCTGTGCCAGCCTGACAAAAAAGGAGTGACTCTGACCACTTCCGAGCATAAAAAGCCTGTGAGAAATATGCGCAGTACTAACTCACTTAGGTATCGCCGCCACCATCCGTGCGAAGCCAAGCAGAGGCCGCTACACAGGCAGATAAGCTGAGTTCAACGTCCGCGCGGATTCGATGCAAATCTTGCAGCTTGGGTTTGGCGCAGGTGGCGCCAACACACCT